GCTGCCCTGAAAAAGTCTTATGATGGTGGATCTGATGGGTTCCCTTCATCGTTTGTGAAATATGGGAGTAGAGAATTTTCACTATTTTGTTTGAAACTTTTCAATCTATCTATGGAATATGGGACCTATCCATCTGTGAGGAAAACATCTCTTATCACCCCTAGATTCAAAACAGGATTACGTAGTGATATTGTTAACTATAGGCCAATTAATTTAACGCCCTTGCTCTCAAGAACCATGGAAAAAATCACCCACAAATAGCTATTATCATTTTTACTTTCGGCTAGTCTGATCAGCCCATCCCAACACGGGTTTATGACTAAACGCTCATGTCTCATATCGCATCTGGAGTTTCTTGATCAAATTACCCAGAGAAGAGATGTAGGTCAGTCAGTGGCAGTTCTTTACTACGATTTTAGTAAGGCTTTGGACAATGTCTCACACAAACTCCTTCTTCCGAAACTCTCTTTATTTGGCATACAGAATCCTCTTTTATCTTGGCTCAAATCTTTCTTAGAACAACGTAGCCAAATGGTACGCTTTCGATCTTGCTACTCTCAACCTGTGAATGTAACCGGTGGGGTTATACGAGGAAGTGTGATTGGTCCATCACTCTTTCTCCTCCTTATCAATGATGTGTGTTCCCTCTTTCAGTATGGTAAACCTTTCCTTTTTGCCGATGACCTAAAAGTAGTTTATTCATTCTATTCTCTAACCAAAGAAAGCTATATTTCAGCAGTAATCCAAGAAGAAATAAACAAGTTATACGAATGGACTGTTTCGTGGAACTTGCCACTCAATGTTGACAAAAGTGGATTTATTCACATTGGCCGTTGCCTTGACTTAAATCTGACTATACACAAACATACACTGAAACCTCTCAACACTGTTCGTGACTTGGGTTTAAGATATAGCAACAGTCTGAACTTTTCTGAGCACATCGCATCTCAAGTATCCAAAGCTAGAAAGCTCATTGGGTTCATAATGATAAACTTCAATAATATCGAATCGAGATTATTATTATACAGAAAATGTGTCTTACTAATTCTTGAATATGGTATTTTAGTTTACAGTAATTGCAGGCATAATGACCTGATTACAATTGAAGGTGTTCAAAGAAGGTTCACCAAAGCTGTTCTAGGATATTCCGATAACAAAGACTATCACCAAAGATGTCAACAACTCAAATTAAAACGTCTCTGGATCAGAAGTATCAAATTAAATCTTGTCTTTATCTACCGGCTTATTAACGGTATTTCCTACTCTTCGGCATCCACCCCTTCATACCTTATGATATCATCCCACAATTTACGCAATAAGAATAATATTCTAGCGATTTCAAGAACCCACACAAACTTACGTCAGAATTTTTTCCTTATTCGCCACTTAACCATGTGGAACAGTCTGCCAGTGAACCTCCGTTGCAGTGAAGCTACAACCTAGTTCAGAAGTCTCCTTGATGATTTTCCTTCTGAAAGTGGATTATGTCACCTATTGAACATCAATGTATTCAATAGTGATTTATGCAAACAAGGTCCGTCATCCATTTAATTGCCTGAAAAGTAAAATGAAACCTTTAAAACTTTTCACGTCTATTTTGTTTTATTTCTATTCATCTTAATATATGAAGTCTACTTATGTTCGTGTTTATCATTATTACTGTTATTAGTATCATCATTAGTTCCCCGATATACTAGATATTCTTATTATCTCTTATCCTTCCAAACATATTTAACTCCAGATTGTCCTTTGAAATCAATTGTGACTTTCATAGCATCATTCTTAATTATTATTGCACAAATATTTATACTAATATCCCGTTTCATTCTGCATATTATTACATAAATCTACGTGTGTTTATCCGAGTGTACTAAAGAATTTATTTTATTTTTCTAAATTATTGGTTTACTTCAGAGGTCGAAATTAATTACACAGTTATTACTATTATTATCATGGTTGAACCCTTTCACTAGGTGTTCGTTTCTTTTCTCGCTCTTTTTTCCATCTAAATAAATATTATTCTGACTTTTACGGAGTTTGTAATTAAGACAATAACTTATGTTACACTTAAATTAACTTCTCAGTATAGTTTTATCTTCACTATATATACATGACTCATACATATTGATATTTCATTATCCTTTTCACTTAATTGATACTTTCATAGCATCACTCCAAACTATGACTGCACAAACATTTATTCAAGCGTCATGTCTTACTGCCATAATAATTTATTTTCTCTTAATTATTTTCTATTTTATTTTTTGTACTAGTTTGACGATTCATACATAGTCGTTTATTCTCGTTGTATGTTCATAAACACGCCTATTAAAATATTTGCGTATTTCACGTCTCCTTTATTTCTATTCCCTTATTTTGTTCTTTTACTTTTTTAAACTCAATTCAATATTCTTCTCAATTACACAGAACCTGATTTATTATTACTATTCCATTATTATTACTCTCTTTTTTCGAATGTGGCAAATATAGTGCTAACACTATTGAAGCTTTTGTGTTATTGCATTTTTGAAGAAACATGAAATGGTTTCCTCACAACATTTATGCACCTATAAGATGTTTGTGAATAATGATAATAATCCTCGTCAAGAATAAATATATTATAAGCTCAGCGAAAAAGATGATATCACAACCATAGTTTATAGTCAGTTACATAAATGCTTTCTCTCACGACGCTCATGCAGTTGGGCAGTTCTGCTCAAACTTTAGATAACATTGCCAGGGAGTAATCCGACTTTGTCGTTAGTGTTTTTGAGATTCCATGTAGAAAATATACTCATTGTGTTACTGTAAATGAAGGTAAAATTGGCACTACTTAAACTATTTCAAAGTAACCAGAAAGGCCCTTTTTACGCTCGTAATGTTTATTACTGACGATTCAAAAAAGGAATCATTGAAATTCATATGACGCAAAGAAAGAACATCAAGAATGTTAGAAATTAAGATCTGTTAGTTTTAAAACACGACCACTCTAGTCTAAAATACACTCATTATGTACTGATTGTACGCTCGTTTTGCTTATTAAGCCTAGTGAAACTAGATATGAAAAATACCCAGAGTTGTAACAGGCCACATGCTGCATGTGATGTTGAGTACAGTTTGCTTCAATTTAATATGAGAAAATGGCATCTTAAATGGACATTGCATTCAACTAAATTATTGTTATAAAAAATACAATATTACACTGGAAAAGAACAAATATTACAGTGAGCAATCAACACGCATAAAAACTGGAAGTAATACTGAATAAAAGTCATAATGAGTAAAATAGCACAATTTTGCTTCTTTTTTTCCATCACATCATTCCCCGACCACGGAACAGGTCATATCTATCCCATCCGAAAGATTTGATTTTGAAGCCCGTGCAATATAGAAGAGCGATGATGGGTTATTTTGATGCATTGCGGTGTTCGTAAACCTTCTTGCCTACACTGATCATTACTAAGTTACCGTATTAAACAGAACTTAGAAATGAACACTGTAAGTGGAAAGGGTTAAAGAGTATGGACATAGTTTCCTGTGAGAGGATATTCAAACTGCTCAAATGGCTCAAAAAGTATTCACAGCTCTATTTTTATATTGAGTCTCTGTCTTGTCTTCAGTTGAATGACTTGCAGATATTGCTTATACTGGCTGTAGGTTTAAAATGTTGATAAATTACCGACAAAAAACTAGCTGAAGCGAAATTTTTGGTTTGTAAAGTCTCTTACCGTGTACTTTGTGTTTCTCTGACCTGTTTAGAGGTGACGTTAATGTATCAAGTCCAGAATGATTTCTTAATGTTCCGCATGCTGCAATTTATATATGAAGAGTTAAACCTTCTAAAACGGAACGAGTAGCAGCTCTATGAACATTTTATAATAGTCCTGGGACCCTTGGACTTGATATGTTTCTCGTTTGTATCGCACTACTGTTGTGGACAGTGAAGAATATATTTCGAACTTCATGCTCATGTACTTCCAAAACTGTGAGCATTTTTCGAGAATGATTTGTCATCAGGCAATGACACACTACAACTCCTACGTAACTGAAGGTTAAAATGGCACAAGCGTTTCTTCAGTTTTGATTAGTGTCATATGAACTTCGGAAGAAAATTAGCTGCGCTTAGTTGCACTAACAAACATCGACGATGTCAAAAGCTAGTCAAAAATGCGTTAAGGTGTAATTGAAATGCTTATATCTCGTCTCATTTAGTTACCCCTTACAAAAATTTAATTAAATTTACATGAAGCGCTGTAGGAGACGGTAAACAGTAGTAAGTCTGGTACAATACCCTGGGCTTTCCAGTCTTAATGAGAGGGTCTTCGAGTAAAGTCGATCAACAAAAAAGCTCCTCATGAAAGTGCTTATTTATTTTTATCGTTCTTCCACTTCACTATAAACCTGACCTGAGGAAACCGACTCAAGACTTTGCTAAAATAAATGCAGAATAGATCCACTGGTTTTCCGTTGATTAAGGACCCGCTACTACTTCCACTTGACAATGAAAATTTCGCCACGAGTAACTAAATATTTAGAAAGACACCATGTGGACTGTGTTAAAAGATCGTGGGTTCACAATAAAGTCGGAGAGGTCCTTGAACCACTCCCTTCAAGACAACAAAGATCGTAGTTTATGAGCTAGGGTTTCAGAAAAACGGAAACAAAGATCATATCTTTAAACATCAAGGTATACTATAAGATGCTGACCCGAAATTTGATAACTAACACTTTATTACTCCTGATCAACGACGTGTGAACATGTGGGCTAATAGCTCACCAGGGTATTGTGAGATATTGCGATGTCAGTACTTTTTGAACAACCGGAAATATATTTTTATTTTATCTAGGACTTTCACTGTGAGACTGAGCCTTCAAGGTAAAATGAATTACAGGAATTATTAAAATGCCACTAAATTTCTTATTTTTATCACTGATTACTGAAAACTGTTTTTAATAGATGGTAATTGAGGAGTGAAAATTTATTTACAGGAGGGTTTTCCAAAAATGCCGCAACAGGATTTTTGAGTTGTGCAAGTAGTCTTAGAAGTGAGATTTAGGCTTTCCTTTCTTTTATAATAACTCGTAACAATACTGGTTTTTTGATATGTTGGGTTTACTTGCATGAACTTTTTTAACTTGGGATTCCTCCCACAACATACATACTACTGAGCTTTCAATATTATGAACAAAAATTTGTCTGAACCCAGAGTCAAGTAAAGAACTCAGAAAACCACCAAACAAGACTTAATGGTAGATATTCGTTCGACTGAATTACCGTGAATTGTATGCTATATACGATCTTAATTGTACCGTTGATAGGCGCATAATAATCCTCAAAATGTGCATTAAATACCTTAATGCAATAGCTTCTTCCTATCCGGAGTGCAAAGCCACTTATGTCTCGTGAGTTACTTAAAGAAAAACTCAGAACGGCCACGAAGTTCCGGAAAATGACTTCCGGTTATTCACTGTCAAATATCACCACATTTCGCCTAACACGCCTGTTTTAAAGACAGATTGAATTATTGTTGCTAGAAACTATAAATCGCTGAAGCTGGTCTGTTAGTGTGTTGGTACTGCAAATAAGAGTGTCGTATACTGCTTCAGTCAGTGACTTATATAAACTTAAGGAAAAATAACGAATAGCAAAGTAGTCGTGCGTTTACAGGGTAAAGTTATTGGACTGTTTCAGTGTTTATATATGCTTTTACTGGAAGTTCCAGTATATACTTCCCAGCACTTAGTATCGTTCTCAAGTTCGATGTTCGTATCAATGCATTTGTCACTTTCACTTACAAAATGTACATTCTGCATTATGCGAATCGTGCAGCCGTGTTTTGGAGGTCGTATTATTACATTTCGTTCTTTTGTTTGTTTTGAATCTTGCTTTACCGTTTCCTGTTTGATCAACTGGGTATTTAGAGGGTCTGCAGTTGATTTTTCGTTACCATATATAAATTCGTGTATTGGGTTCTGAGCCACATTCCCTAGTGTGAGAGATAAGGAAACTACATGGTTATCCAAGTCGAGTCACATAGTGTTTAAACCTGATGCTTAGTTACCAAGAGTTAAACGCCCTAGCCACTGCGCCACTGATTTCAAAGCTGATTACGTATACCTAGTTACTAAGTTACATTAAACAAGTTATTAGTAGTTGTTCAGATTCAAACATTTGTATCGTATACAACCATCAGTTCATACCGATCGAAATTAATCGAAGAACAAAAGCACTGACTAATATAAATTGCTGAACTAATGCACCATGCTTTCCTGCAGTGGTTCGAAGGTCGGAACCCCGCTGCGCTATATATCGGGCATCTGACTAGTATCACTAGACTTCTCAAAGTATGACTATAAGCAGAACACAAGCCCAGACTTGGCAAGCGTCAGATTATTGTGTACTCACAAATCTTTTAACAAATAAAATAAAGTTGTCTTTCCATAAGGTTATAATTGTAATGGAAATTTTTTGTAATAATTTCTTATGCATAATGAATGAACTTGTAAGAGCAAAGTAGAAGAGTGCGTATTACATATATATATATATATATATCAAGCGTTAGAAATATATGAAATCCAACAAAAGGGGCTTGTAATGAATAAAATCGTACACTTTAGTTATTTGTAGATCTGCTTTTATATTGTTTACAGTTGATGCATCTGCAATTCAAACATATACAGGAACAACATTTTGTAGATTAGATTGGTTCTTATAAATGCTAATGTAAGACAAATCGTACTCTACGTGGTTATTATCAGTGACGTTGCGAAATGTGTCGCGTGAGGGACAAAATATCTTGTTTGGTCAATTTTATGTATTATGCATGTTCATTCTCTCTTATGAAGCTGAGTCGATAAGTTCATCCGGGGACAATTGTCTACAAGTAAAGAAATAGCTCCCAACATGGTTCCGTGAAAGATAACAGTTATAAGACCTACTGTATATATATTCCACCATTCATCCACCCCGTTAAGCTCCACTGTTATTTTTAAGAACTAAGTTAGCTGCAACGTAGGACCAGACACATATGTGCATCGATCCAAGTTGACATACCTCATTAGTACAACAAAATGAACACCAAATTCATAGAACTAGTTACTTCAATAGCAGTAATATATAAAAGAAAGATTGTGTATAAGCATATAGTACAGGAAGAAAGAATTAGATTATAGAAATAAAAGTCTAAAGCAATTTTAATCTCACGGTTTAATTGCAGACAAAGAGTGAATAAAAAAACGCCATTGTGATCGATTATGTGCCATGTCACTCACAGTCTCCAACCATTGGTTACGGTAGTCACATGGACCTCAACCAAATAGTCTGCATCTACCGACATGGACCAGAACAGAAGTTAGTGACTTCAACGACTGATGTCACGTTTTGGTTTAGCCGCCCTAATGTTCTTCCAACCATCTCCAACACTGGTCAGCATTGCGCGTCGTGGTAATCGGTGTTCAGGTGTACGTAACACGTGGCCCAATCATTTCAGTCGATGAAGATTTACAACTTCATCAACTGATTTACCATCATTCCATAATACCTTGTGTCTAACCTCACTATTACTTACCCGGTGATCCCAGTAGATGCGAGCAATATTTCTAAGGCATCTGTGGTCAAATACTTGTAGCTTACGAGTACCTTCTACTGTTAATGGCCACGTTTCGCAGCCGTAAAGTAGAACAGTACGAACTGCCGCACAGCATGCTGGTCCGTTGATTGATAGACGGATATCTCATTTTCACCACAAGTGATGTAGGTTAGCGAAAGCCAAACGAACTTAGATTTCGTCAGACATCAACCCATTAGGGTTGACCAGACTTTGAAGATAAGTGAAGTTGTCGACTCATTCGACTACTTCACTCCCTATTTTTACTTCATGTTGACGCAGGTTAATCCTGAATCAACACTTTGCATTTAGAGGTGGATAAATGACTCCCAAACATTCTGGCATTGTCGCTCAGTGCTATCAAAAGACTTTGCATTTTATCAGCGTTCTCACCCAACAGGAGTATGTCATCTGCGTATTCTAAGTCGAAAAGTGGGCCTCATGGTAGATCAATGCCCGAGATTTCAGTGGACGAGAACTTTATGTTTAGTAGTAGATCTATGTTGAAATTGAACGAAAATGGAGATAGTGGACAGACTTGCCAGACACCACCTTAGGTAACAATTAAACTCGTGTTATTATTGACGAAGCAGTTGACTACTGGTCTGTTCGAACCATCGTAATTAGCTTCCACTTAAATCCCTAGGTTAAACTTTGAAACGATTCTGTAACAGTGACGTGGTCCCCATTAACAGTCGGTTATGTGCTGTTAGATTAGAAAGTTCCATCAAAGTGAGAAGAAATCGGCGTGAGAAACGATGTCTTTTCGTCATCTCCGCCTATGTTCCGACAGATTGCAGCCCGGATGCAATCAAGGATGAATTTTACCACCAGTTATCTGTTCTTCTCCAGAAAGTGCATTCGACAGATATTGTATTACTAGCCGGAGACTTGAATGCTCAGGTCGGGCGTCTAGGCATAGAAGAGAGTCGTTTAGCTGGCCGATGGAGACTTGTTGGTCGCAGTACAGATAACGGGGATCGTCTACTGCAACTGTGTACAGACCACAACCTGTTTCTGGCTAGAACTAACTTTCGGCACAGTCATCGCCGATATGCCACCTGGCGTCCTCCTTCTGCATCTCAAGCCTGGACTCAGATTGATCACATCGCGATCAGCTACCGCTGGCATGGTTGTGTACAAGACTGCTGCTCATTTTGGGGTACCTATCTGGACTCTGACCATGCTTTGGTCTGCGCCAATCTTACCTTTTCAGTGGACAACGAAGTGACCACCACCAACGGATTGGTGTTAGCAAGGTGGTTGCAACTTCTGTTGCAAGTAAGTATCGAACCGAGCTAGCCTCTAGGCTAGCTACCATTCCACCGAGAAATATAGATGAGCATTGGTTGCAATTGCATTACGCCATGAAAATGGCGGGTACAGTCAGTTGTGGGTTTGCGAAACGTCCCGCTTATAAGCACTAGGTTTCTTCTAGTTCCTTACAACTCATTGAAGCCCGTCGGTCTTTTCCGGGTGACCGTGAGTTTGACCACAAACGAAGGATGTTACGTACTGAAATCGGGCAAAGCTTGTGTAAGGACCGAGAAGCCTGGTGGTCGGTGTGTGCCAATGAGTTGGAAGCAGCAGCTGCATCTGGTAACTACCGGAAGCTCTTCCAACTTATCCGAGCCACTGTCAGCAAGAAGTCTGGTGTGAGTGAAACAATCTGTGAGGATGACGGGGTGCAAATCACTAACATCTGTCGATGTCTTGGACAATGGGCAGAATTTTTCGAAGGGCAGTTCAACTGGCCTGCTGCTCCGGCAACATCGGTCAGACTGTCCTGCCCTCCATGGCCGGTGACGACTGATCCACCAAACGAGGAGGAAGTCCGCAAGGAACTCCAACTCTTGAAGCGTTACAAATCACCTGGCCCAGATGATTTACCTCCGGCTCTTTTTAAAAATGGTGGTGACTTTCTGACTAAGGAATTGACGACGTTGTTTACAAAGGTTTGGGAACTAGAAGGTGTACCAACGTCATGGAATGAGTCGATAGTTGTCCCTATTTTTAAAAACCGTTCACGTCGTTCCTGTAACAACTAACGGGGGATAAGTCTACTTCCGATTGCGTCCAAGCTATTGGCTTCCGTCATACTTCGCAGGTTGTTCAAAAGCCGAGAAAGATTGACTCGCGAGGAGCAGGCTGGCTTTCGTTCTGGTCGAGGATGTATTGATCATATCTTTACCCTCCGCCAAATGTTAGAACACCGCCATACTTATCAAAGGCCAACAATCGTAGTGTTTCTTGACATCAGGGCTGCCTTCGATTTGTTGGACAGGACTGTTCTCTGGGATTGTCTATTGAAGAAGGGTGTGTCTGAGAAGTTTCTTAACATCTTAAAGGCCCTATATACAAACGCTTCAGGGAGAGTGAAGGCATGCCATCACCTCTCTCAACTGTTCTATTCAAGCAGTGGGGTTAGACAGGGTTGCCCAATCTCACCATCCCTCTTCAACTTTGCCATTGATGGTATTCTGGAAACAGCTCTGATGAATGTAAGCAATGGTGGTGTCGATCTGTTGCCTGGAGAAAGACTTCTCGACCTTGAATATGCGGATAATATTGTCTTACTGTGCGATAATGCCCAAGCCATGGAATCCGTACTTATTCAGTTGGCAATCAGTGTCCGTAGGTATGGTATGTGCTTTGCATCTTCGAAGTGCAAAGTACTTCTACAAGACTGACAGGATTCTAATCCTGTACTCACCCTGGACGGTGAGCAGATAGACGTCGTTGAGAAGTTCGTGTATCTGGGTTGCTGCATAAGTGCTGGTGGGGGTGTGAGTGATGAGATCAATGCACGAATAGTGAAAGCCAGAGCGGCTTATGCCAATCTGGGCCACCTTTGGCGCCTTCGTGATGTTAGTCTGACTGTAAAAGGTCGGATCTACAACGCGTCGGTGAGAGCAGTTTTATTCTATGATTGTGAAACCTGGTCTCTCCGAGTTGACGACGTTAGACGACTCTGTGTTCGATCATCGTTGTCTCCGAAGGATTGCTGACATGCAGTAGCAACTTTTGTTAGTAATGCAGAGGTTCGGCACCGTGTTTTTGGGCACAGAGACGATAATGCAATTGGTGTCATCATCTTGAAACACCGACTTCGGTGGCTTGAACATGTTCTCCGAATGTCGTCTCAGAGAATTCCACGTCGTGCATTATTTGCCGACGCTGAGACTGGTTGGATGAAGCGGAGAGGTGGTCAGTGCATGATATGGTGTCGTGGCATGAAAGAAAGCTGCAAAGGACTGGCTTCTGTCAGTCCTTCACGACTCCCTGGTTGGGGTCTGAGAGATGGTGCTACACAGTGGCTAGAGACGTTATCAGATATGGCTCAGAATAGAAGCCAGTGGCGATCCTGCTGTGACCTTCTTTTACTTTCCTCATAAAAAGTGGTTGTGTCTCCCTTACCTGAAAGATTTTTTCCGATTGTACCTTTCCGTTCCCTCATTACTACCACACTACCTTACACCAATCTCTTCGTTATTGTTCTCTTTTTTTCTTTTTTGCGCTACTTGGCTTTTCTCTTCGAATTCTCATTGTTTTGTGTGGCGCATATATATTGGCGCTCTCTTGTACCAATATTCATGTGTTCAAATAATATAAAATAAAATAAAAACGTGGCCCCCAAATGCCCTGGTATGGCCGAGAGTGGGGTGGGCCCGCTCTCCCTCTCGAAATGCTCTCACACGGCCACGCGTATACAGCCTCTGCCAGGGAAGTCATACTCACTTCCTTCTCGTGGCGGGAGTGTTGTTTACGAAATTGATAGGTCGAAATGCGAATGTCCGGCGCTTTAACCGTATTCCAAACCAGTGGTGCACATGGGCTCCAGTATCCTGCGGGAACAAATGGCGTATGAACCAATCGTTGGTCCTCAGCTACCATGGGACCGCATCTCCTCACGATGCTCCACTGCCTTATGCGTCAGATCTTAAGGTCAGGGGCTCGAGGTGTGGCCCCTTAAGAAAACCACCTTCTTCGGTCTGGGCACCCGGGCAGTATCACAGCCCTCACACAAATCAAATGATTTATGTGGCGCATATCTATTTGGTGCCTCCTTGTACAAATGTTTATGTGTTTAAATAAATAAATAAATAAACTAATGTCGTACACTTTGATCTCAATAGATATATCATTCTAAAGTGAGCTTATTAAAGGTTTATCGATTTTTACCAAGTTTAATGGCATAGATAAGTATACTGTCTGCTCTCGCCAACACCATACCAGGTTAATCGTTTTGTCCTTTTTTCGAGGCTCCCTCACCTATAATACATTCCTTGGTTTAACATTTGTAACCGGTGCATACTATCGTTGAATTGATTGACTGATAAGTTTTGTGGTATCTCTCCTTGCAAATTAACAATATATTGCCAATCATTTAATTTTAAGCAACTGAGTAATAACATTCAAGTTTTGTTTTAATTAATAAATAATTATTTCTGTTGCAACTTTGATATTCATTTATGGATAGATGAATCGTTTAGTCTCAATCTTTAGTGAAATGAACGCGTTTGTAGAATCGAAGACGTCCAATAGGCCACTAGTTCTAAAAACATCATTAAACTATTGGAATAAACACTTCTAAATGGGGCATTAGTCGCCGGTCGTTTTTGTTTTTTATTATTCAACCATAAACTGTAGAATACTTATCTGTAGGCAGTCATATACAACGTAGAATTTAAAACATGTACATCGGTCCAATTTTCCATACCACATTAGCACAACGAGATGAAATCTTTAAGAAAAATCCCAGAGTAGTAGAATTAGTAACAGTATCTGCAATGATCGAGACGATTAAGTATAAGAAGAAGGAAAGTGTGCGAGATTTCGCGATTCAGAATCTAGTGTGAAACAAAGAGTGGATACATCTCCGTCATTACGATCGATTGTGATCCATGTCAACCTACGTTTCTAACTATTGGCGACGATAATCGTGCTGACTCCAAGTAGCTACACGGCTCAGTTCGATTGTCACTAATTTCATGAACTGATGTCATGGTTTGGTTACCTCGAGCTTTCTTTCAATCTACCCCTACACCAATAAACATCTCCCATCGAGATAGTGAGTGGTTGAGCATACGCAATACATCCTAACCACTTCAGTGGATAAAGATTTCATATTTCATCAACTTATTTTAATCGACAATAGTCAAAATTGAGTATGCTAATCAATCGAAGTATGTCAAGATAGCAAAACGTATTAGCACTAAAGCCAATTATTATCGAAACGCTTGACAGCTTATCATCATCAAGTTTGTCGCAATAATGGAATTAGTGTTTTGGGAAATGTTTTAAGGTCATGAAAGTGTCGAGTTTTGTTAAGTGTTTTGCAAAATCCATAGATTCGGTTTTAATAAAACCAGTATTCTTTGATTGTAAGTAACAAACTCCGAAAAAAAATACTTTCAGAACTTATACCGCACACAGTATGTGTTACACTTATTCTTTCGTAACTGACCGAAATAATGTGCAACTTGATACAGCAATGTATAAGCTCGAGCTACCGCATACTCCATTGTTACAATAAAAATATCGACAAGATAGTAGGAAGTAAATAAAGCTGAAGAAAACTGTGATATAAAAATTAGGACCTGGAAATCCAGTGTGGTGTAGACTAGTGTGAACTCTAATTTCCACCTGGAGAGTCCTCTAACAATTATTTATTATTTTTCGGATGCTTTTTACTCATGTTATCATAGTCTATTCTTACAAATACTGTTATTTCTTTTATTTACGTTCATATTTCGATGACTGATTATTCGTTGCTCTCTCTTTTCTTTTTATTACAGGTCTAATCGTAAAATAATCTTATCTCAGGGATTTGTGGTGTGATTTTTATTTTTATTTTTACACTTCATGTTCATGACTTAAATACTGCATGAAATGGTTATTGATCCACATTTTTCTTTGCTTTCTACAATCAATTAACATGCTCAATGGGATTTCCTGACCATACTTTATATTTTTAGTCAAATTATTTTCGTCAAGTTATCAATTGTTATAGTGCAAAAAATGTTTACTACATCTTCAACTAATTCTGACACAACAACACCACCCTCTTCGGTGAAATTATTATCTATTGACGAACATGCTCAAAAAATACAATTTAATACTAGTCAAGATACTAATAATCTTACAAGTGATTCTTTGTGTATTGATTCATCTGAACGTGGAACTCAGGAACTTTTAAATAGCATACATCATAACAGTCCAATTAGCAATAACAATAATAGCAATTGCATACTAAATTTAAACAGTAAGGCTACCTCATTTCATTCAAGTATATCAGACCTTTCATTATTATCATCATCATCGTCCCTTTTTCATTGTGAAAATTGTCCTATATGTGGAGACAAGGTATCTGGTTATCACTATGGCCTTCCTACATGTGAATCTTGTAAAGGTAAATAGTATAATTTCTAATAAATTTTTGATTTTTCCTCTTTTTTCATAAAATTAAGGATTTTTCAAACGTACTGTGCAAAACAAGAAAGAATATCATTGTAATGAACAAGGAAATTGTGTTGTTGATAGATTACATAGGAAAAGATGTGCTTATTGCCGATTCCAGAAGTGCTTAATTGTTGGTATGCGGGTAGAAGGTGAGTCTTCTTTGTGTTTTGTTTCTGGTTGATTGTTCATTTAATCGATTTGCTTTCATCGTTTGCTTTTCAGTTACGCAACATACATTTTTTTATGCATGTAGTGGTGTCTGATCAATGTAGGATTGTAGTCGAAGCTTAAAAAAGAATTAAGGCCACCTAAAGTTGATTAAATATAACATCAATCTATCGAGTTATCGACATCTTTGAATTATTATGCGCACCTGTAGACTTGATAGTTTGATCCACAGGATATCAGGAACTAGTATTTAAAAAGCGGCACTGATAAGGGTTGTAATTGTTTCAGTTCACTAATCATTCACAGGTATACGTACTCGTGCTCTTACTATCTGTTGATACTGCTCAATTGCTAAAGTTGAATTAGGGTGAAGAATTGAAGAGCAATAAGTACATTAGACTAGGTTTTACTTTTTTTAATCATGACAGCAGTGTTGGTTAAGACGAGGGATACTCCTAATATAATCAAAGGAAGATTCATTTGTTTATTTCTGCTCAGCAGTTCGTACTGTTCTACTTTACGGCTGCGAAACGTGGCCATTAACAGTAGAAGGTACTCGTAAGCTACAAGTATTTGACCACAGATGCCTTAGGAATATTGTTCGCATCTACTGGGATCACCGGGTACGTAATAGTGAGGTTAGACACAAGGTATTATGGAATGATGGTAAATCAGTTGATGAAGTTGTAAATCTTCATCGACTGAAATGATTGGGCCACGTGTTACGTACACCTGAACACCGATTACCACGACGCGCAATGCTGACCAGTGTTGGAGATGGTTGGAAGAACATTAGGGCGGCCAAACCAAAACGTGACATCAGTCGTTGAAGTCACTAACTTCTGTTCTGGTCCATGTCGGTAGATGCAGACTATTTGGTTGAGGTCCATGTGACTACCGTAACCAATGGTTGGAGACTGTGAGTGACATGGCACATAATCGATCACAATGGCGTTTTTTTATTCACTCTTTGTCTGCAATTAAACCGTGAGATTACAATTGCTTTAGACTTATTTCTATAATCTAATTCTTTCTTCCTGTACTATATGCTTATACACAATCTTTCTTTTATATATTACTGCTATTGAAGTAACTAGTTCTATGAATTTGGTGTTCATCTTGTTGTACTAATGAGGTATGTCAACTTGGATCGATGCACATATGTGTCTGGTCCTACGTTGCATATGACTGACTAACTGACTGACTTTGTTTGTTAGTTACGTTGATCTGCTACGCGATGTATGTATCGTCATGTTGTAGGCTATCTTGATTTCAATCTCGTTAGTTCTTATGGAATTAACTTATGTAACTATATTTCTAATGCCGTAATGAAATCTATATCTTAGTTGTGTCATTGGATTTTGTTTTACCGTTTCAGTCCTTTATATATTAGTTTACAAAATTCTCTATACAATTTAGTAATAATATATTTATTGAGTTGCACTTTTGTTTGCTTACTCTGGGTTATTGCTTGGAAGTAAAACTTGATATTAGACTCAGTATGCTGAGATATATGAAGTTGGTTAGAGTCAAAATTCGATGTTCTAGTTTAATCTGTTGTCAATAATGCTACTTTCATTGTACACGTACTTGCAGGAGTTTTCTAATTGTCTGTTTTCATTAGTTTACTAATGTTTTGGTGTGAACCATGTATACTATCTTCCTTTTAATTTGGTATCCATAAAACTGTATTACAGAAGTACTAAAAGCTCATGAAGACCGTTTTTTACATTTGGTAAATAAAACTCAATTTGTTTTTATCAACTTGGAACTATCTATCTATCTAGTATATATATAATTTCAAGTTAAAAAAAACGTGATTATGCTCCCGTTTTATAGGGCGTGAACATCATTTATTTGTAAAATGAATAGATAACTGTGCAAGATACCATTATTTATAACTTTCATAGTCTTTTTTAGTCTCATCTCTTGTATTTTTTCCCATTCTGATGATCTTAATTTTGTACTACTTATTCGACAATGGATTACGTACTCGAATCGGGTAAAGCTACATTTATGTGCATAACCTTGTTATTCAATTCCATGTGTTTGATGGCAGTAAAGGATTTCGGTCACAGATGTATAATATTTCAGGAATGTTCCATTTTATAGCCGTCTCATATACTAATATTTCAAATATTTTATTTAAGAAAGTTTTTCAACAATGATTAGTTGACACTCATCACCCACAAATGTTTTTGATCAGTTTTTGTTCTATAACATGTCTTTTCACTGTTTAATATATCTGATACATGAATTCCAGCGCGATTGTTTCCTGATTTTTTCTAAAAAGCGTAAGACGAAGAAAGTACACCGACCACCACGGTGGTCTCATCTGAATTTACTAGTATTTATCTTTCCGATAGGCTGCAGACATTTTATTAAAGCCCCTAAATACATTAAAGGGTTAACATAAATAGTCGGTTGATCAAAAGCAATCAAAAAACGATATAAATTTTTGTAATATTTACGGGGTTGGAAAATAGTTAGCCCGGAAATTTAAACGTCCCTTCCTATCCTTCTACCTTAATTGCTAGGATTTTTCATGGGTATACATAGATGTAATTCCCCAAATCCAAAGTGATTAAGAATGTTCGCTTATGAGCACAAACATCAAGCTTCTAACTAAATTTCTTTCAAACAATACCAGGTAGATGCTTACAGACTATTTGATTAGAGTCCGCGCGATTATCGTCGCCAGTAGTTAGAAACGTAGGTTGACATGGATCACAATCGATCGTAATGACGGAGATGTATCCACTCTTTGTTTCACACTAGATTCTGAATCGCGAAATCTCGCACACTTTCCTTCTTCTTATACTTAATCGTCTCGATTATTGCAGATACTGTTACTAATTCTACTACTCTGGGATTTTTCTTAAAGATTTCATCTCGTTGTGCTAATGTGGTATAGAAACTTGAACTGATGTATATTTGCCAGATTCTGCGTCACATGTGGTTGACTCTTCCAAGCATCAAGGATACTTTTTCAAGTTTCAGAGTATATGGATTGTGACTAGCGCTTCTCGTTCTATCTGGAGCTTGTCAGTTGTATATACCTTGATCACAGTATTGACTGAGATTTGTACCCTGTATTTATGACTGTTAGCCAACGCATTATCCGCTGAGGTACAGAGTCTAAACAGGCATTAACATATTCAATCGGTATAATATCTATTTGCTAGGATTCGTATTAACACGTTGTTGTTTTTGCGACCGAATTTTGACCAGTCTTTGTTGGAATATATACTTCTTGAGCGGATCTGTTTGATATGTTTATTTTGTAACGAGTTTCAGAATGTATGTCATGTTTCCTTTTTAAGTGAATGTATGCCTTTTAGAACCGAAAAAGAACTTTTTTCATTTGACATTAGAATCACATCACGGCACATTGGTTTATTTGTTCTTCCTATCCAATAAATAAAAACCGATCAACTCCGTTGTAATTGACTGAGATAAGTTGTAGGGAAGTTATTAATAAATCAGGTCATATTTATGAATGCGTACAAGTATGACCAGATATATACTCATTCACGTTCAGGATCAAAACAAATTAGAGTAAATTTTCAAATCGATCAATCAAGAGGTTGTATACTAATAATGGTAGTGGTTCTTGTTTTAGTCAAGTGACAATGTGGAAAGCATTTGTGTATTTTTTTAAAACAGGGAATTCATTATACTATAGGTGACAAAATAAAAATAGATGAACCTGTATAATGAACGAGTTTATATATGAATAGACAGACAATTTTTCATCCCTTATGAATTTTGTTCATCAACGTTTCTCTCTTATTCACGTACAAAGAAAAAAATTATTCACACTAATAAAAAATGATTTCATATACACGTGTATGTCTACATAAATAGGTGAAACACTATGCAACCAATCGGTATAATATACCTTCAAATTCATTATATTCCATTTCTTTCTGTAGTAATTAGTTTTAATCCATGTGTTAACACATCATTAATACTATCTTCTTCCTCATAATGTTATACCCTAACAATGTTTATAAATCTTTGCAATCTTCTATTCTCAATACTGACGAGAATGATGATGATGACAACAGTAAATTTCATCATAAATCAGTAGAAAAATTAGTATATGTAGATAGTAATAATAATCATAATAACGATAAATGTAAAGCTTTGTGGAATTCTAATCATTGTGAGAATCATGTAATATTTTACAGTAAAAATACTTGTCAACATAAATTCTTCAATAATATTTCTCATCTACAGAATCAATCTAATACTGCACCATTAAATTCATTATCACCTAGTTATATAGTTCCATTATTTTCTTCACATTTTGTTTATAATAATCACACTAATCTTGTTGACAATGTTCATGGTACTGCTGTTGTTGCTACTACCTATACTACTAATATTATTACTAATTGTTCTGGTAATCACTCCTATTCTAATTCTCCTTTTAATTTTGTAGCTGTTCGTGAAGATAGAATGAGAGGTGGACGTAGTCGACGTGGACGTTCATCCTACTGTGTTGTAACAACACCGAATTCCAGCAATAGTAATAATAACAATAATGATTCTAAAATGGATAATATAAAATGTTTACTTTCATCTAACTCTGTGATGTATTCAAAATCTGTTGACAGTGAGCTATACAGTAGTATTACTCCTCCTCCACTTTCTCATACTTCTACTATCCATGTTAACAATATTCATCCTTCGAACAGTGGCATTGACATTTCCAATAATATTACAACATCAGTTCCATATGAGAAAGACTACTGTAACAGACGATCACCAATAATTATCCCATCATTATGCACAGTGAGTAAAACGATATGTGAAGCAAACTTGGTCGCAAGTTCTTTATCCTTAACGAATTCAGTTCCACAAGTTACAACAACATGTACTACAACAGTGACAGTATCACCAAGTCATTCATCTTTGTTGTATGAATCTAACCTATTTAACCCAAACTAGTGAGTTTTTATCATTTAAGTAATGATTCATATAACTGGTTATTTAGTTACTACAATAAAAAAGTTTGCATTTTTTCATGAAACGTCTGTAAATAAAGTACACGTTGATCAAGTAGTAGCGTTTTCATCGTTCGACGGTGTTGTTCATCATCTTCATAATTTTTTCTTGTCACACTACTGTAGTATAGCAACTTTGGCAACCGTACATTTGATCCAGGCTCTACGTAGATCATGACTGACTTGATGCTGTTGTGTTCTGTGAAGTAAGTGATTCGATTGCAGAGTTTTCACTGTCTTTTTCGACAACATGATCAGCGACTAATTCATGCGGAAGGCAATAATGATGTCGTCTCAACTAACAATATAAACACAGGAATTAGACCATCTAGCTCAGGAAATATAACACTACCTAAATGATCTTGGGCTGAAAATTTACATAATTTCAATCTTCGTACACGAATTCGAAACGACTATTTTATTCAATATTTAGTACTTTCAATATATCGTTTAACTTCATTGAAATTATGAACCGATCTAATTTTGAACACCATTAAAAAATGTAAGCACTGGAAGGCCGTTTCATCGTAGTATGCGACTCATATTTGCTAAACGCTCCTACATAAAACAGGATTATAAAGTCTATGAACGGTACTGGCGAATAAGATTACCTTTAACAGTATTCATAAGTGATTGTGGTGACAGTACTATTTCCTTGATATGATAGTCATATATGTATTTGTATGGAGTTTGTAAATATTGTTGAATTTTATTGAAATCACGAACTGATCTCAGTTAGACCACGATTGAGAACCTGAAAACACTGGACGACTGTTTCGTGCTAATATGGGACTTCTCAATAGTGCACATTCACGACCTCACTACTGAGAATCAAACCTGGGACCTTCGGTCTCGTGCGTCAATACCCAACCCATAGACCACTGACCCGGCATCCATCTATGAAATTTCAACTATTTCCACAACCCCATACTGAAAATATCTCTTAATTTTTGCGTTTAGTTTTATGTTGCACAGTATTAGACATTAGTTAACCAGATGCATTTGTAAATTAAGAAGAACATGCTTCTTTTGGAATTCAGTCAGAATTCTGTTGTAGTTTTTATTTATTTACAACGTGGAAAATCTTGGTATAACAGAACACCAGAAAAATCTTCCAAACACACTGGAATGATAACATTGTAAAGACAAAAGAGAGAAATTCGTATAATCAATCATTAATAAATCATAGTATTTAGTCAAAGATACGGTTCAATTGAAAATACAACCGAGACAAATTTCATTTAGTTAAGAGGCTTATATTTTATGAAGAATGTAGATTAAGATTCTCACTGGCTTTTGTTTTGAGTCTCTTCTGATAATGCCTTGAACTACAGAATTTCATGATATCTTAGATCCTAACCAGAGTCTCAATGGACAAATATATGTTAGTCCTATACAATTACCTTTGACTCCACATCTCTATACTGTAAGTTTACTACGTCTCTCATTTCCACTAAGTCCTAGTGTCAGTAGACGGAGTACACAGCGGTAAAGCCACTTAGATAACATTCATAAAACATGTTTGAGTCTACCAAAAAACTTAAATCTAAGATTCTCAAACATTCATTTGCCAAATTTCAACTCATTTTTAGTGTTTTCATGTTTACTCTCCTTACTACTGAAAATATACACCAAACTTAATTTGAAAATTCACTTGAAAAAAGAGTCCTAATTTCTTTTTCATCTCCAATAAACAATTATGTTTTTATAAATCTCATTGTTTAAGTTAATTGCGATATTCCACTCTAGTTTATGGTTTTTCATCTGTTAAGTTATCGATCATTTTCTTTATAATTTATCACCATTAATTATACATTGGAAATACAACAAACTTATTATGTCATGCCTGAACTTTTCTACTTGCAACATGCATAAAAATTGACTAGATTAATGATTATAAATAAATGAAAAGAGATTTTATGTTCGTTTATATTTACAATTGAATTTCAATTAGCTAATATGACAAAATCATTGTGTAAATTAGATAAAGTACATATGTTAAGCTATTGTATGTATTGCACACATGTAAGCTAACTCCTAAAGATATTTATTAGAGTTGTAACTTTGATTAGAGTGCATTGAAGGAAAACTATGATTAATTCAGTTTCTTATTATACATAATATTTTTCATTTATTAAACAATTATCCTTATAAATGTTTACTTAATCAATAATTTTCTTATTGAAATCATGAATCGATCAATGTTAGACCACCATTGAAAATATATATACGTTTTACAATAATAATATAATACTCATCGAGTGGATACGTTACGTAATAATTACATAATGACATTGGACATCTGTTTTGTGCTAGTATGGAACTCCTCAGATGTGGACTATTTAAAAGTCCCGTACTAGCACAAAACAGATCTTCAGTACTTCCAAGTTTCTCAATGGTGGTCTAATATTGATCAGTTCACGATCTCAAAAAAAGATTCAACAATCTCCACAACATTATACTGATAATAATTGTCTTAAATCGCTAATTATTTCACAGTTTCCGTTTTTTTTCAATTTTATTTTCCGAAAAAACCTATTTCTGAATTGGATGACTTTCATTTTAAGTTTTATAGGGTGACGGTTTTTCATAGGTATAAAGGTATTGACCTATTCTATTTCATTTTATTGTAATACATCATAATTTTGGTGTTAATTTCCCCTAATAATGATAAATGAACGATCATATAGTTGATTAATGGTGTCTTTTTTGCATGTCTAACAAATTCGTAAAAAAATATTTTTCTCTCTCTTATCTTGTCTTTAGTTATTTTTGTCGAGATATTCAGTAAATGGAAAGTTAATCTAATATTTATGTCATAATGTATTAGTTCAAAATTGTTTTATTTCCTTAATTTAATTTTGATGGTCAAATCAAAATGATTGATTCTCATTGATCCGTTTATAATATTATTAACAATATCCCCAGAAAGATTTCATTTTTGAAAGTAAAATTTATGTTACTACTAACTAATTGCTATAATTTCAGTTGATCATTTTATAACTGATTTAATAATTTGTTATAATCAAGGATAGTGATGAACTGAGTACAAAAAAATAAATTATGATATATTCATTGGTATTTCATTAACTTCTCGTTAGTTGCTTACACTTGCTAAATATAAAAAAAGTCAAAAATGTTGTTTAACAATAACGTTGGTCATAAGTTAATATAGACACGTATTGACATAGTGTAACAAAAATTATAATAATCTAATTAAATTTAAAACGATTGAACAAGATATTACAAATAAATATCACATGCAAAATTGAGAAGTCTGAGATATCGATTATAATAGAAACAGTAGATCATGGAGTTTAGATTAAATGATTATACAATTCAAAAATAAGTACCAGTTAGTAATACATAAGTATAATATACATATTGACTTAAGCTAAGTCGGTTATAAAATGGAAAGATAATATGGTGTCGAATATGAGTTATGTTACTCAGGGCTAAGAGTGACTGACAACTGATTTCATTGGAATACATATTCCATAGCATTTTCTAAATGTTATTGTTTTTGATTTATTGAAATTTATTTCAAGAGACCAAGTTTTAAAATACTCCCTAGTAAGCTAAATATTTCTGTTTGTCTTCTCGAAAAGCTGTAGTGGATTCAATCACATTGGAATTCCATTGATAATCAATGGGTAATATCATATAAAAATTATGCATTATACGTCTAGTTGACAGAAGTTAAAAAATATGAATCATCTAATTTAGATCCAGGAGCTGAAATGTATTGTGCTGTTGTGGTACACCTGTAGGTCCTGATCTCGAACTAGTACGAAGAAAAAAATACATATTCATTGCTTCTTCGTTTACAATACTTTTTCAGTTGATGTCTGTTCGTAGTAGGAGTTACCTCCATGTGTTGATTTTTATGTATGTGAAGCTCATATTTGGTGACATAGTTTACATTAGAATATTAATTCGAAACCATTTTACTTAACTCAATTAGATGGACCAAATGATATTGTGAAAAGCTGCTTGATATGTGTAACTGGCAATTACATTGTTGATAAACCTGAAGTTTGTGCTGATGATATCGTTCAGAAGAACGGTGAAAGCTCCAAGACCAAACCTTAAAGCTCAAAGAAAAGAACCTTTTTTTAAATTGTGTTTTTAGATTATTAATCTGACAAAACAGTAAGCAGTCAGGGCGACAAATAAACAATAATTAAATAAGGCTTAATTTTATATCGTATGGTTCTCAATTGTTATAATTCTCAAAAAACATTATGAAGATAAATCTAGCAGTTCAGATGCAAAATTGCTGATAACTGTAGCAATACGAAAACAATATACAAACTAACTCATTCACCATGTACTTAGATATGAGCCACACTGTGTGAGGGTCACTGATACTACCCGGTTGCCTTGGCCGAAGAGGGTAAAACGGGGTTCAAACCTGGGACCTAGTGGCCGGATTCCGAACACTTTAAGCCACTGTTCCACTACTGTTACAGTAGTACTAGTAAAATCCGAAAAATTGAAGACGAAATGGTTTTGAACGGTTAATAAAAATATATGCAAAATAATAAAATGTTTTTTTCACTCCCTCAACCAAACTATCTATGTTTTTGTGCTTTTGTAATCGCTTTTCTTTCTTATAATCCGAATAGTCCTAGCGTTCATATGTTGAGAGTGTATATCATTGGTCAACCATTGAACTCTAGAATAATATAGATTCACGAAACACATTATGCAATTCATATTTACTAAACGCTCCTACGTAAAAACAGGATTATAAAATGTATGAACGGTACTGGCGAATAAGATTACCTTTAACAGTATTCATGAGTGATTGTGGTAACAGTACTATTTCCTTGATATGATAGTCATATATGTATTTGTATGGAGTTTGTAAATATTGTTGAATTTTATTGAAATCACGAACTGATCTCAGTTAGACCACGATTGAGAACCTGAAAACACTG